TAACATTTCTCCCTTTTGTTTTCCTCCCTCCAAACTCTCCCATACACCCCTCCCCACACTCCTTCATATTCATGGTCTCTTTCTACACTGATTATTACTGCATGCAGATAGGTGTACACACACACATACACACATTCCTAAATAAAACACGTTCCATTCATAGAATGCTCCTTGTGTGTTCGTTTTCAGGGCTGACCATTTAGCACTACACAGCCTGTTGCTAGTTCTTCCCCAGGAAAAGCCACCTCTCCCAATCTCAGCTTTCCTCAGTTGTCTGTAGTTCTTTGTGTAGAGTTGAGACCTCGTGGACTCTTCTCCATCCACTTTGGCATGTTCATTGGTGTCATCCTTGTTCAGCTCATGTTTGGGAAATCATGATAGTGAGACCTTATGGGTTTGGCTTCTGATATGGCTAGAAAGCACAGTTTCACAGCCAACTCCCTGAGCCTCTGGCTCTTACAATTTTCCTGTTACCTCATCTGCAATGTCCCCAGACTTAAGACCTGCTCAACAAGAAGGAGACCATGCCTAGTATGGGAAATCTAGCTAGCTACTCAGTCCTGTCAAGTCATCAATATTGGAGTGTAGTGGGTAGCCATTCCAGTTTGGATCTGGAAGCTCCAACCCCCATTGAGACTCTGGCAACTGTCACGCCTACGAGGCGGGGCGAGGGGAGGTGCTGGAAACCTAGGAGCTGGATGGGCAAGCGCTCGCTCGGGGCGCTCTCTCTGCGCCTGGACCCTGGACGGTGGAGATTGATTGTGCAGAGCTCCAGAGAACACCGCTGGATTGCTATACGCCTTCCCCAGACCCCCGCGACCTATCCATTCTTTCATTTGTGAGTCATCCACTAAATAAATCTTACTTTTAACTACGTGGAGTGGCCTTTATAATTTTCCCCAATATTGGAGGAGCTGTACAGCCACTAATTTACTAAACCAGCATAATCCCTAACAACAACCTACAAACATTTGTCCTTATACCCAAGTTAAGTGTACTCTTCAACCCTCATCAAAGGAACCACCCTTTGCAACAGATGGAGATCACTACAGAAAACCACAACCAATCAAAATGCAGGATTGTGGAGCCTAAGCCCAGTGGTTTGGCATTGTGAGACAGGATCTTGCTAAGTAACCCAAGATGACCTAGAATCACAGTGTAGCCTAGGCTACACTGTAGGCTCAATCCTCCTCCTCTTCATCCTTCACAATACTGGGGCTGTAAGCATGCATCACTACACCCAGCAAAAGTGTCCTCTCTACTTTTGGAGTGGGTGAGGCAATATTTTGGACTGAATCGAAGGCCTCAAATGCTACCATGTCCAACTCTTCATGTATGTGAGGTTGCCTGAAGAGGCTGGAAGAAAGTCCCACATCCCTTGGATCTGGAGTTACAGATGGTTGTAAGCCACATGATACAGGTGCTGGGAACTGAACTCTGGTCCTCTGTGAGAGCCACAAAGACTCTTAACCACTGAGCCAACCCTCTAGTTCCTCATTAGGTTTTGGGTTTTTTTTTTATGCAAGGCAGACTAGTGTTAAAACATGTCAGTTTTTGTTTATCTGAAAATGTCCTAATTTTCCTTCGTGTTTGAACATTTCACCTGTCTTTCCACACCCTGCCACACTGCCTTCTCACTTCTATGGGTTTTGAACAAAGTCATTTATTACTCTGAATGTCTCTGGGCTGATAAACCTCTCCTAGCTCTGACTTTAACATTCTATTTTTGTCCATAGTTTTGAACATTCTGTTTGTTTTCTTTGTTTTAGTTTGTTTGGGATACTGTCTTCCTAAATGGCTGAGGTTTCCTATAACTCACTATGTAGCCCAGGCTAAAATTAATGATCTTGTTGCCCCAACTTCCCAACATTTTACTCCTTAAGAGTGAGGGAAGTGCATGGGGTTCTTAAATGTGTATATTAATGTTTCTCATCAAATTTGGCATGGTTATAGCCATTATTTCAAATATCAGGCCCCCCCCTTTTTTTTAAAGATTTATTTATTCATTATGTATACAGTGATCTGCCTGCATATATGTCTGCAGGCCAGAAGAAGGCATCAGATCTCATTACAGATGGTTGTGAACCACCATGTGGTTGCTGGGAATTGAACTCAGGACCTTTGGAAGAGCAGCCAGTGCTCTTAACCTCTGAGCCATCTCTCCAGCCCTCAGGCCCCCTTTTTTCTTCTTTTTTATTCCCATTACACCTATGGTTGCTTGGCAATGTCCATCAAGACACTAAATTTGTGTTTATTCAGCTTCACTCTTTTTTCCTTTCTACTCAGACTAGATCATCTTCAGAGTCACTGGTGCTTTCTTCTCATCACTAAAATCTATCGTTGGGTCTGTACAGTAAGTCTTTATTTCAGCTACGCTCCTCAGCTCCAGAGTTTCTGTGTGGGCCTGTTCGATGTAATTTCTGTCTCCAATTGGAATTTTTTATTTAATAAAATGTATTCACCATTCTTTAATCTTATAAAAACAGGTCCTTTTAATTCTTCAAACATTGCTAAGTCAATGTCTTTGTCTTACACAGTCTGAGATTTCTCACTGGCAGTTCCTTCTTTAACTTTATTTTAGGAGGAGCACAGGTGTCAGTCTGCACTGGCAGGGTTCAGAGAACAACTTGCTATACCAGTTCTCTCCCTCCACCATGTGGGCCCTGGGGATTGAACTCAGGTCATCATGCTTAGGGGCAGACAGTTTTACTCCTGAGCCACCTTGCTGAGCCCTCAGAGAGTTTCTATTGACTGCTTGTTTTCTTGTCTAGTGCCCACACTAACCTATTTCTTGCATGTCTTGTAATAGTCATCTTTTGGAATTCACAGGGGAAACTGGTCAAAGACTCCCTTTAATACTCAAATACACAAATGCTTGAGTTCCTTATAAAAATTGGCATATAATGTACATAAAACCTACAACCTTTAAATCATCTGAAAATGTTCCTTTTAACCTTTAAGTTATCTTGAAATTACTTATAAAATACAACATAATAGAACTATTTATTACACTATATTGTTTAGGTAAGAATAACAAGAAAAAGTCTGTATGTGTCCAGTACAGATGAAATTTTTTATACTTTTGATCATGTTTGTTTGAACTTGAAGATGTAGAATCCCGATATACAGAAGCAAGTGTGTTCTTATTGAAAAGAAGATGTTTTGCATAGTACAATGTCACATCCCTAGAAATCATATTCTTGCCCTCAACCTAAATTATTCTTGTTGCTTTTCATTGTTGTTGATTGACATTTCTGAATCATGTAATCTCTACATTCTTTGCTATGTGTGAACATTGAAGTCACTGCTGAGCTTAGTGCTTAGCTAATTTCTGTAAGAGGTTTCCTACTAGATTTTCTTGGACACCAAGGATGATAAGGCTACCATTTTGCTAATAGGATCTGTGGGTAATTGTGGTACCATTTCAGTGCTCTTAATCTTCACTGCTGTGACAGAGCCTCCAGATCAGCCAAAGCTAACAGCTTAGCATCTCTCGGGACTCTGAGCACATATATAGTGCTAACATCGCATGAAGTTTCAGACTCTGGAATATGGTCACAACTTTTGAAAGTCTCTAAGACATCACATTCTCTAGCTTTTCTTGGAAACTTTTGGTTATCCCAGTAGTTGCTTCATTCTCTACTGTTTTAGACAAAGTTAAAACATTCACTGCATATACTGTTAGGAAATGCTCCCATGGATACCCTTGTGTTGCACTGGATGACTGTTGGATTGGGTAAAATGAAGATAGTCTTAGATGTCTTCCAGGAAACCACTAGAAAGGTCAAATAATGATGATGTCCAGGAAGTAAAACTGAAGTGACGTCGGTCCTGTTCTGTTCCTTCTGTGTCTATCAAATTTTGCAGGCTGTTGACTTTGTCCAAACTCAAAATTGTAATAAATTTAGCTTAAAAGCCCTTTGCCTCTTATTTATAATTCTAAAAGTGGACAGTGCCCAGTTTTATGAAATAGAATGGCTGTTCTAATGATCTGAGTCAAAACAATATTAGAAATAGTAAAAAGAAACAACAAATCCATTGACTACAGAAATAAATGTGAGCTTTTACTTTTCATCATTAACCTAAACATCAAAGATGTGTAAAAGCATAAGGCAACAACATACTTATGAGTTTTTGTTTGTTTTATAAAAACAATACATAAGAATATTTTGGTGATTTTATTATATAATCGATGTATTATTATTTTAAGCAATTAATAAGTCATTTTAAATCTTATGTTTATATCTCTACTTTGGCAAATACCAACAGTTATAACTCATACAAGCAAGTCTTTTAAGATACTCAATTATACTTCTGGTTGGTTGGTTTGTGTGTTTTATGGTGTTGAAGATGGAAACCATGGCCTAATGTATGCTTGGAGAGTGCTTTACTCCTGAATTACAGCCCCAGTCCCACTCAGTCATATTAAAAGTCCAAGAGCCTTCTAATTCTAAAGAGCTTGAGAGCCACTGTGCTAGGTCTTCTAACTAATACTTTTAATCAACACCAGGAGCCAGAATGGTGGCATGCGCCAATAATCCCAGTAATGGGGGTTGCTGAGGCAGGAGGATAGTGAGTTCAAAGACATCTTGAGTTACATAGCAAGACTTTGTCTCAAACTATAGGATTGGTTAATCTGCAGAAAAAGTTCTTAGCCTAACCTTTCCTGCTTCTTAAACAGGTCATATCTCATGGACTTTATCTAGGCTTGTTATTTATGCTTGGGAAGCTCTTCTCCCTTTCCCTAACCATTCTTCTCTTCTTTATTTCTACTCAGATATCACTACCACCAGAAAATGTTCCCTCACCGATGTCTTGCATTCCCCGGTTTTGGCTCACCGATTTCTCTCATAGCCCCATGCACTTTTCCTCCATTGCACATATAACAGAATATAATCGTGTGGTTTTAGATCAGGTGATCTCTGCTTGTTTCTCCTCTAACATTAACCTCCACTGGAACAATTTTCTTCCTTGCTTACCATTCTCCCCTCAATACTTACCATAATGTTTGGAAATACATGTATGCAGAATGAGTGAATCCTTTTCCAATATGAAAACCACATGTGCAGACAGGGGGGGGAGTGTTCTTTATTGATTGTTCCATCATCTTAAATGGCTTTTCCAATTACCAGCCACGACTTGAGAATGAACTGTTGATAAGCAGCTTTTATCCTATGGGCCTGCAAATAAGGTATCCCAGTATCATAATCTTTCTGAGACAAATCAGATGGCTTACCTCACTTACAGATGTGATTTCCAGAGCCTTCCCACAGCTTAGGCTTCTTCATTTCCAAGACTTTTTTTTTTAATTATAAAAAGACTATTACAAATGGTCATCCTGAGTTTTTCTCTTAAAATACCTTTTTATTAAATGCAGGAGCAGATTGAGTTTGTCTGTTATTTCTTTTGGGACTAATGGTACATTTTCCAACTTCAGAAATTGTTTTTAAGACCACAAAAGTATCAGATTGGGATCTTGCGGTGACTACCTCGGGACAGCAGTATTTTATTCTACTTTCCTTCCAAGAATGGAACTGTTAAAAATTACTACAGTTATTTATTCTTCAGTGTGCAATTTATTACATGGAGGGGTTGTGTTTCATTCTTCTTCCATTTGAGAAATGATGTACTCACACTTCCATGCAGCAGAACACACAGCTCCCATTAGTAAGCTGTAGACCAGGTCCTGTCTGAAGGAGACCTGTGGGGTCAGGATGAAGGCTGCATGTTGTTTTTCATATAAAATAGCTAGCCATTATTTGCAAGATCTGTCATCATAAGAGTTGCAGATTCCATTCAGATCAATCTAGCAGACTTTAACAGCAAGGTTCCCAGAACATACTGAACACAGAGTTCTTCAGAACACTGTCTTGATCTTATTGCAATCTCAAATGGTTTTGTTTTACACAGAGACTAATGGATATCAATGCTGCTATTCAATCCCTGATTGCATCAAATTCTGCACTGCAGATGGAGGTAATATATCTGTCTCTATTTATATTGGCAGTTTATTGAAAGCTAAAATGTGGCATTATCTCAAAGGTTGTATTTAAAACAGAAAATCTGAAACTGTTTTCAAGTATAATAAAACAGAAATACATGCACAGGATGTTTCATAAGAAAAATATTTAAAGCAAAACATCTAGGGCTTTTAAAGGACTTATTTTTTAAGCGCTTCTGTACTGTTGGGAAGATAGTAAAGTAAAATTAACCATATTTCTTACAATAAGACTTGTCATGATCACTCATTTCATTTAATCTCAGAAAGAAAGAACAAGAAGCATGTTCTCCCCCTTTGTTGAATCTGGTCAATCATCTATGTATATACATAGCAAGTGTATGTGTATGTCCAGGATAACACATAGAAAAGAAAACTCAAAAAGCTAAACATCAAGGTCTGAGGAAAACTCCATGTGGATAGTGGACATGAGTTATGAATGAGAATAGAAAGCTAGTTGTTCTTCTAGTTTTCACCCTGTCATGGGTTTTTCATTTTGGGTGTTAGATAAGTACATAAAAATGTATTTGATAGTAAAAGTATATGATCCAGTGTGAAGCTCCACAGCCTCAGGATGGCTATTCTGACTGTGCAGAAGATCATTAAGTTAAATAGTCTTTGGTTCTGATTAATTTCAGTGTATGATTTTTTGAAAGTTTTACAATAAAGTTTAAAATAAAATTTTAAACTGATTATTTTATATGGAGTTTTAAAAAGCATGATGCAATAGGCATAATAATCCTTAAGTCTCTTGTCAACTTACAAACTAAACTCTGACCTCCTATTGGGATCCAGGATTAGTAAGCAGATATCCATGTTTAGATATAAAGATATATACTTTCTACCCTATTCTCAGCAATTAGGATCACAGTCTTATTCTGCCTTGTCCAGATTGTTATTGGGGTTTCTTGCTTATATGATTCTTGTGATGACTTGGCAGAGTTACCAGAATACTGAAGTGACTTTAATCAACCCCAGTGCAGAAATATTCAAAACCCTGACCTACCTTAGCAGTTTACTGAGCAGCATCAAGAATCCTCTGGGCACACGAGATAACCCAGCACGGATCTGCAAGGATTTGCTCAGCTGTGAGTACAAGGTTTCAGATGGTAAGTCCTTCTCATGTTTAATTTCTTCATTTCAGAACATTTGAGATCTGCAATGTGTTTACTTCCAATCTCAGTCACTTTGATAAAACATCAGCAAAAGCCATTATAATGTCATCAAACTGAAATAGTCTTTGAGGAGGATATATTTCTGAAACCACCTCGGTCCCATGTCCTTTGTTTATACTTTGTATTTGCAAGGTAGAACATGATATAGGGAAGGCTGACCTTAGGGGTGACAGACAGGAACACATCTTAGTCCTTGGTAATTCAAAGCCATCAAAGTTGACAACACTTTAAAAAAATCATAAATTCTCTTCTACAGCACTCCCTAACAATGTGGTTCAATAGAATTTAAATGTGCCCCCAACTAGAATCAGCAAACATCAAAATAGAATTTCTCATCCTGTTCAAGTACATTGGTCAGGAATATAAAAGTAGGTTTAGAGAAAATCATTAAGGAAATGTCTTAAACCCAGAGGATCAATCACCACTTAAGGAAGAGAAACACTAACTGCCAAAAAATTGTGTCATTTTGTTTTCGTTTTTAGTTTATAATCACCTGTATAGTTAATAGTATGTCTTTTTGCTTTGCTAAAAACTTAATTCCCTGAACATGTTAAGTTAAGGTGAGTCTGGTCAGGCCAGTTTTGCTTTCTATAGATTAGTCAGGAAAATGACTCTTATTTAGGATTGGATTTTGTAAGACAAATACAATGAAGAGATGGGGGCAAGGGAACTAAGAGCTTGTCTGAGTAATGTCCTTCAATGGAGGAGAGAACTCTGAACTTGAGACTGCAGGAGGGGCAGGAGGACATCAAGAACTGGTGACGTCATTGGGTAGTCGGTCCTGATGGAATCAAAGAAACTATTGAATAAAGATACTAGAAGGAGTAAGCAGGAAGAAGCAAAGGGATGGAATTGTTGAGAAGGTAGGGTTGTAGGTAGTACAGGTTAGGGTATACAGCCTTGGGAGTTAATGGTTGGAGTAGAGGAAATTGGAGTGTCAGGAGCAGAAGGGCCAAGGCGTTAGGAGTAGTGTTGATGTGGGTTTTTTTTTTTTAATACCAACAATGAGGTTATACATAGATTTTTCTGAAAGTAATAACAAGACAGAAATGTAAATATTCAAATATTTTCAGTAGTTGCCCTGGGAAATGATAACAGATGATATAACATGATGGTAATCATTGCAACATAGAATGTCTCAAGGGAGAACATTTTTCAGGAAAATGATCTGGAGGAAGCAGCAGAAGAGACATCTTCCCACACCCAACTCTATGAGGCCAGGGCAGAACTTGAATGAAAGAACTAGAGAGAGAAGCAATGCCCTTGGGGCAGAGCTAATTTTGAATTAGAACCCTTTGGCTCATAAAGATATAAGGCTCATAAAATAGATTTAAGATAAACTATGTCGGGTAGACAGGCCCGGTGGCGAAGACAAGCAGACGCAGGTAGGCCTGCGGCGGGGGCCCGTGGAGGTAGACGGGCCCAGCGGCGGCAGCCGACAGGGATATTCAGACCCGGCGGCAGCCAGCAGAGACATTCAGGCCCAGCGGCGGCCCACAGAAGTAGACGGGCCCAGCGGCGGCCCGCTGAGGTAAACG